CGTCGACTTCCATATTGCTGTCGCTTTGGCTCGGGGTCGGCACGATGTCTGCAATGTAATCCTCATCCTGTAATTGGCACATGATGGGGACATCATCATCCGCACTGACGAACTCGTCGAATGTCGATCCGTCGATGGCACCCGAGAACTCTGCCAGCTCGTTCCAAACTTCGGCGGAAACACCTGCGGTGTCTTCATTGCTGTCAGAATTTGGGGTGTCGTCACCAGGCATGCGGAAGTCAGCATGCCTAAAGCAGTTCTGGATTGTCTCCTTCTTGACATCTGCCCATGATCTACTCAACATAGAAATAGCTCCGAGCAAGTCGATCTTAGGCTCCCTGCCGACACGAAGGTTCTGCAGCAGCCTCCCCACCAGGCCCTTCGGACAGCCGGCTTTCATTGTGTGTATAACGCCTTGATCCAGTGGTTACAGTACAGACGTAGTGTTCGGGGACAAAAAACGCAGCTTGATGGTGCTGAAGGTCGTAATGCAGTGGTGCGATGAACAATTGTCCACGAGCAGGCACACCTTGCGATTTTTGCCTACCAAATCATCATTCCACGATGATAGCCATCTGCTGAAAAGCTTTCCGGTCATCCACGCTTTTGAGTTTGCTCGGTAGGTAACTGAAAGGGACAGCGCATTTCGAAAACACCGCGGTGCCGTGCTTTTTCCGATAACCAGAGGTCGAAGCTTTTTCGATTCGTCTGAATTAGCTGCCAACAGCACGGACACACGAGCTCTTTTTTTTTTGCCTTGCCGCCGCTTTTCTTGTCGCCACAACACGCGAGTGTCTTGTTTAGCAACATTTGCCAAAGTAGAGCGGTTTCATCCGCATTGAAGATACCGTATTTTTGTGCGTATAACCCGCCTCTGCATATAATCCGCACCCCCACTTTCAGCTCACCGAGAAACAAAAAAATCCTCGCGTATTGTCGCACATTTGATATACAGGAAAGGCTGTACAAAAGCTACTGCTCAAGCAACATAGCACATATGTAGACAGAAAAAGCTTTATTTAGCAAGCAGAATACGCTGTCTGCAAGGCCAGTCACAATTCACTCACTGTCGCTGCTCTCGCTAGAGCTATCACTTGAGCCACAGTCCTCACTATTAAGCACAAGGTCATCTTCGGTTCCATCCATGTTGTTTGTGATGCAGCATTTCTTGAAACTTTTTCGCACCATGTCACCTTGAATGGCCTTCCATGCCTCGACAATCCACTTGCAGAATAGGGCAATATCAGGCCTTCGGACTCGTCCTGTCGGCGTCAAGTCGTAGCAGCCTTCGGCCATTCACTCGGCGTAATAGCGCTTGACATGCGCTTTGAAGGGCTTGGTAAGCGACACATATAGAGGCTGCAACATTGACGTCATTCCACCGGGTATAACAACTAAGTCGGTGCCGTTGCGTGAAAGGCGGTCCTTCACTTTCTCAGTTGTGTGGCCGCGGAACGAGTCAAGAATGAGCATGGCCCTCTTTGCGAGCATCGCACCGGGCCTCTTCTCCCATACCATCTTGATTCAGTCTTTGAACAAGTCGCTGTTCATCCACGCGTTCTCGTGTGCTCGCACCACCACACCAGCAGGCAAATGAAGCTTTTCCTATATATTTCCTATATATTGTCTCAATGTAAACTTACCGTGTTTAGGAATTGTTTGATGTACGGGATAATTTGATATTATCGGGTTCGATATAGTCGGGCTCAACTGCAAACGAATCCGCAAGTACGAAGGCTAGACAAATCTGTGTACTATCCATCATTCCCATGGTCACTGAACGATCGCAGCGCCAGAGTCCCCTCTAGTTAACTTTAAGAAACTCTATGGGAGGTGGCGACATGTGAAAGAGCAGGTCGAATGCCCTGCCCCCGCTGGGAATATGAAAACTTTCATCTGCCTATGTGTTTATTCCGTACAGAACCGCAACTCTGATCACCTCCGAAAAGAAACCATTGCTGATTTAGGCCTAGCCTACGGCATATGTTGTCGCGGGAAGTTTGTACAAGACAGCATGATGATTAAGCGTCAAAAAGATCGCATTCAAGCACTGATCCAAGAGTATGCGTGGTACGATGTTTACGCATCAAAAGTCCGACGAGCTTGTGCAAGTTTGGTAGGCGAAAGCCCATGTTGGAAAGCTGTTTTGCGGATGAGGTAGCAAACTAAAATAACGATGATGCTGTTCCTGATAGGAAACTCAAAGCGCACTTGATTAGGATGCGACTTCACGTTCCATGCGGAGCACGTGCAGCAGGAGCCACGCTGGTACTGGCGTAGTGGTTACTCTGACACCCAGGCAACCGCTTTTCATGCTCACTCGACGAGCCCACGCGGCTGGCGCAGTATTTTTTTTTTCTTTCTCCTTGATCCAATAACATAAGACAGCGTCAAACAGCATCGGTGCGAATAGGGTACAGAACTACTGATCATGGCCATGTTTGGGGTGTGCCCGAACTAAGCGTGCACCTATTATGCAAATAGATATGGTACTTCCTGTTTACATATTGAGAATATGCTAGAAAAAGTTGAGGTTGTACCCCTCTAACTACTCACAAAGGTCAGTTTCCTGCACCAACCCTGCTCCGAAACACAGTTCCTTCTGCTCTAGATCTGCCCCCAAACACCATTTTGGACGCACTAAATATTGCCTCAAATCCTAAACTCATTGGACCTGAACTGTTAGAGGTCGGTATTGGTGCCAGTTCTTACAGTGTGCCAGTAGAGAGCAAGTGAGAGCAAGCATTTGAAGCTTGAGGAACACAAAATAGCATGCACAATACTGTTTAGCATAGGAGAATAGTGGTCGTTAGAGGAGAATGGAGGCTGTAATTCCTGATGCTCGACTCAGCGTTATTTGAAAGGGCAACTGTGATTGTGGTGGTGGGAGGAGAGGCCACCTTGATGAATGGAATCAAAAATTTGCTTTCTTAAGCCTTCAAGGCTCTAACTTAGCGCTAAGGAAATCAGTTGCAGCCTTGACAAATGTACTTGTAAAAACACACTCGCACTGTTTACGAATTTACAATTGCAAGCCTTCTCAGCGTATATGCTGACCAGACCGTGTAGGTGCTGCAGAAGACGACCGACATAGCTGCTATACGTATACTAGTGTAGTGCTGTCTCTATGTGACTGAAATTTTCTAAAAAAAAAAAAAAAAAGAGCCCTTTTAGCAAGGCACAGCAGCACAGTCTGGCCAAGGCTTTCTTGTCCGTACTCTTGAATCCCTCAGTTAGCAAAGCTGGTGGTGACTGCAAAGCAATGGACTTTTGTGAGAATAAGGTTGTCAAATAAGAGAACACAAACTGGAAATCTGCAGATGTGGAAATGCCATCAGACATGTACTTAAGGAGTCTCACTCAAGGGTGGCAATAAAAAATATTTTTGTTATTTATGGAGGTAAAGTAATGAAATTTGGCATGCAGGTGTCATTTGTCATGCTGATTTATACCATAAATGAAATCGTTTTAATGTAGTTTATGAGTTGCAACAGTTGATGGACTATCACTGCCATCCCAAAATTAAATAATTTGGTACATAAAATTTTGTTTATAAGGATATTCACAAGGGCCCATTCTGTGCCGTAATGCTATTGGTTCATATTTGTAAGCTTTTTCGGCGCGTGAACATAGGAAAAAGGAACAGGGTAGACAAAAACAGCGCTGTCCCTGACCCTGTCCCTTTTTCTCTTTTTCTATGTTCGCACACTGGAAAAAACTTGCAAATATGACCGAACCAACTAGCCCAAGCTTCCACTCTTGTGAGCTATTGATTCATTTTTAGTAAGCACGCAGAAAAGTTTTTGAGATGTCCTGGGTCTTATTAACAACTTTTACAAAAAGCCAATCATAAAAATATGTATAGTGTCTGTCCGCACAAACATGGACAGCTTTGCGGCACTCACCAATGTCTCAGAATCTATGTGAAGAAAATGGAATGGCTATGTCTTCATTTTTCGCAAAGTGGAACAGGGATGACTGACAGCAACTGCTCAAGAAATAAGTCGAAAAATGGAGCTCAAATATATTGGAGCTAGGAGCTAACAAATGGAATTTGGAAGGGAGCAGGCTTTCTACCTTGACCTACAATCTGTCCTTTTTACAATGATGCCACTATGGTGGCACTGTGCGGGAAAGCTACAAATTATCATTTTCGAAAGCCCAAATTTGTCATAGCTTTTGATGGCAGCCGACCAGTAAAATGCCTTTTTCTCAACTTTTACTACTTTTTTTTGGTCTAATATTTCATTGTGATGTGAAACGTGGTCTCTGAATTGCAGATAAAAAAAATAAGTTGAAAAATTAAACATCTTGACCTGCCCCGCCACGGTGGTCTAGTGGCTAAGGTACTCGGCTGCTGACCCGCAGGTCGCAAGATCAAATCCCGGCTGTGGCGGCTGCATTTCCGATGGAGGCGAAAATGTTGTAGGCCCGTGTACTCAGATTTGGGTGCACGTTAAAGAACCCCAGGTGGTCAAAATTTCCGGAGCCCTCCACTACGGCGTCTCTCATAATCAAATAGAGGTTTTGGGACGTTGAACCCCACAAATCAATCAATAAACATCTTGACCAAATTTACCATTCCCATTGCCACATGACCTCGTCTCTAGACACCATGCTTGTCTTGTGCCACGTTGTGGTCATCCCCTCGAAAGATCTAGTGAGCTTCGTCTTGCATGGTATGATCAGTGTCAGTGCCACAACACAGCTTAATAGACTTCAGCCCACTCAGTGGCTAGTCAGCAGTGTGTGCGTGTAATAGGCAAATGTTTAATGGGTCGCAGTCATTTTGAGAAGTACTGTCATTGTTTTCAGGTATCACACATTGCTTCTTTGAAGAGTGGCTAGCAGTCGCTTGCAGCGAAGCAGCATAGGCAGGATGCAATGTAGAGGAGGTTTTTGAAATGTGCAACTATGCACATGGCTTCAGAATTTTCGTTAGTTGAATCCTGCTTCTGTCAAAAAAGCGGATAAAATGGTAGTCACGTTTTTTCTTTCAGCAGATCCCCAGGACGAAGTCGCTCACGGGACCGCTCTTACAGCAGCAGGAGCTACTCGCACAGCTCACGGTGAGCGTGATAATACACATTTCATTGCTCTTGCTCTTTAAGCATGTCATTAGTTATGAGGTACTGGCTTTCTCATTCACATGTGCAGTTGAATCTTGGTTATTCCTACTCGCAAAGGGTGGGAAAACAAGATAAAGAAAATTAATGCAAAGTATGATGTAGTGCACAATGTTTGACAAGTTGCCAAGTCATTTCTCAGACAGACACACAGAACCAACATACACAAAACAGGGGTGCAACAGCTGGGCCGATTCGATACAATTCCTCATTTTTGCGCCCAAGTCATGAGGTTTGTAGAAGTTGCGCCACGCGGCGCCCAAATGGCCGACCAGCCTAAACATTTTCTCGGTTGCACTAATAGACCTTTTTCAAGCAATCCCGCAATGCCCTGTGGAGCGCTATTGGAAAAGTTGGTACGCAGGAGAACCAGCTCTTCCTCCACCCGCTGCTCACCTTGCGAGCACGAAACAAAAAGTGCATGCCGCTGCTTGTTGAATAGTGCATATCTACACATAATATGTGCCGCCGCTTGTTGAATAGTGTGCGAGCGCACCTGCATGTATATCTACGCATAAAATGTGAAATGAATAACGCAGCCAGTGTAGGTATCACGGGACAGGTGTTCATCGAACGTAAAAGATAAGCGGCATGCGAGTTGTTGTGTATCGATACATGTGGTAAAAACATGCTACCGTGACGAATGTGAGCTGGAACACTGAATTCGTAGTTAATCAACAATGAAGTGCTCATAAAGCGCTACGGCTTTTAATACCATCGCAGTTTTATTGGGCTGCTAAAACAAAAACTGCAGGGAAGTGTTACGGCTATGAAATTCTTTGAAAATTTTTATGGACAAGTCACGTGCTAAAAAAAAAAGAAATTAAACGCATTCTAAACGCGTTCAAAGACAAAGTGATGGAACTAGAATGCATGTACGAGATACCTTGTTTTGATAATTTGCGGTTTCTTGTAAAATGTTTAAGTGTCTTGGCGGAGCATGTTTGCTGGCAGTATATTCTGCATTGAGTGAGACCACTATGGAATTGCGCGTCAGCGCATTCAAATATTGTTTAATAAGAAATAATGATAATAATGTCGTACTTAGGCTCGGCGAAGAAAAACAAAACAAAAGAACTTTACAGAAGCAATAGTTTCCAGCTTCAAGAAGGCGTGGTGCCCTGCCTATATCATTTTGCATCGGTTTGTGAACAGCTCATTTGCACTGCAAACGAAGATTAATTCGGACGATCTTCACCCATGAAGAAAATGAAAGTGAAAGGAAGTTGGGAAGCGATACGAGGTGAGGGTTGTGTTTTCCACATTGTTAGCTTAGCAACATTTTTTCCGTGGAGTGCAAAAGGTACCAGGGGTCTGTGGTAGGCAAAGAAAAGTACAATGAGAGGCATGCCAGTTTTTCTTCCAGTTGTTATACAAGAGGTGCTAACCGAATTATTGTCGTGTTCACATATATACGTTGGTCAGACTGGTTGATGTATCAACACACGCCTCAGACAGCATCAAAATTCATTGAATAAAGCCATCTCAACGCACCCTGCATTTAGTCACGCAAATGCAATTTCATCGCTGAGGGCCTGGTAATCTTGCACAGTCGCCCTAACCAGGCCATGCAAGAAATATCGGCGACGTATTATAAGAAACATAGCACCTTGTTTATGTCAATTAACCTTTACTATCGCTACAACACAAGAAACTCAACTTTATTAATCAACTGTAAACAGGCGCCTTGGTTGTTAGTCTTTTCTTACCTTTTGTTACATGCGCGATTCACCCACATTTTCTTATTTATGTTTGTTAACACGTGCAATAACCTTTCAGTCGTGAGTGAGCTTTCCCGGTGTGCATATTTCTTTCATGGTCCTACTACTTTACTTTCTTTTTGTCCTGTAGGCTCTTTTCCAACCAGCAATTGCGATGCCAAGATAAGTTAATAGATGCATATGCTGCAAGCGTTGCGCAGTGGCCTAGCCAATGTAATTTATTTTACAAAATTGTGCTTATTTCGAAAGCACTCCTTAATTATACCAGGACCATAAAATTTACTCATAAATAGTGCCAAAAGATATTGATTCCTAATGCATCCGTTAATTTATAAACAGTGCTTGCCCCTTTTAGGCAACCAAGTTGTACTGTTTTTTATTGATGCTGAAGGCGGACTGATGCTAAGGGATAATAATAATAATTAACTGGCACTTCTGAGCCGTGGAACAGAGGGACAAATGCAAATCGTAGACAGGCCATCGCACCTCTGACACTAAGTTCACTTGATATGAGAAGCGCTGGCATGGTGCGAACGAAAAGTTGAAGCATGATGCCCGCGCACTCGTCGCGGCAACTGTTGCGGCGTACCAACATTTCCTATAAGCGTTAGCGTCCGCTGGTGGTGCTAGTGTGCTTGAAAAAGGTCTATTGCTGCAAAGAATCCTGGTCATATTGGCCACTTGTAGTTTGCATCACCAATCAATCCAGGAATCCAGGCACACAGACCGTAACCCGAACCCACGTTGTAATACACTCATTGGGTCACGACACTGGCGAGACGCGATCTACAAGATGAAGTAACAACGCCGTGCACCCATCTGACCGCAGCGGATCTCTACAGACAGGACGATGCAACTTCAAGATATAATGCTTTGTCGTAGACATCAACGCTTCGCGGAAAATATGAATTTCCTAGTCGGCAAATGCGCCTATGGCATGTGAGCTAAAGCTGAAAGCGTATGCCGCTTTTACTACGCGCGAACAAATTCATACTGTGAACATTGGCGTAGCTGGTGACCACGTTGGTTGCCATAGCTACGACACATGCTATAGATATTTTGTGCTATCACTGGGCTCAGCTGGGCCAACGGGCACGTGCCATTGTTACCTTATCTAGTCAAACGCACCTTGCAAGCGAGTTGAGAAGTTTTGCCCTAACCCATCCTAAAAAAAGGGGGAGGGGGGCAGGGGGTGTGGCGGCTCAAAAATTCTTTGCCTTCTAACCCATGCAGAAAGCTGTGCAAGTCACCTTCGCCTCAGTTCACCAGTGACCCGCAAAAAAGTGTTTTAAGGTTTCAAAAGGACTGTTAGCGTTAATCACAGGACACAGCACAGCTTGTTCGATTTCTCAGGCATGTATATGCCACATAAATATGAGTACTAGTATGATCGCTGCTGTCTAAAAAGTTACTGGCAATCACTTAGAGCAGTGTATGATATTTCTGCAGCCTTAGGAAAATAAAAAAATCTGTGCACAAGTCTTTTTCGCCACTCTTGCTCCTCAGTTTTACGAATGTTCCGAATCTCGCGGTCCCCAACTTGGCAGATCCACATCCAAATCCTCGGAGTCCGTGTCAAAGCATTTGACAGTTGTGGCAAATGCTAATGTGTACTTCATCACTGTGGGCCAAATGGGGTGGTTCAAAATACTGAAATAATAGTTCTCATACTGACTCTGCATGATTTAAGGGGTGTTGAATGATTTGTACATTTAAAAAAAAATGTAAGCCTTCTTTTTTGTGTCTCTCCAAATTTGGTCTTTTGTAATAAAATAACTAATGTTTTGTGTTCCGTTACATGCTCCAAGTCAGAATTTTTGTGCTCTGAACGTAACATTTGGCTACTTCAAAAATTGCTCCAATTCTATTTCGGCTGATGCATCCCTGACAATAGCATCGTATCCTTCTTTATTTTTTTACAACTGCAACATTGTACGGTTTCTGTATCGCTTCAGTGACATTTGATGATTAACGGTCACTGAGTCCAAGTGATTTGCGGGTCACACAGTTTGAGCTACACTCTAAGGAAAAAGGAGTAATTCTGCCGTGCAACAATAATCACCGTCTATCTTGCTTGCATTTCCTATTTTAAAATCTCTCTGCATGTTTCCATCCTATTGAGTTTGCTGTGTCATGCTTATGGCGTGCATGTTGCTTGGAACAAGGAAGTGCTGGAACCATGACTATATAACACAAGAGAAAAGCACACGAGGTAGATGACTCACTTTGATCTCCTTGAAGCAAAATGGCATCTATGAGGGCATACATCTCTCTGAAGGTGCTTGGAACTTGATGAGCTAAGTTTCAGAAAATTTTTTTGAGCCAGTGCAGACAAAATGTCACCTTGAAATCCGCGACATCGCCGACAGACATTTTGGTACAAGAACTGGGTTCTGTTCCAGTGTCGTGCTCCTCAACTGCAGCTGTCAACAGGGATCACTTCAAAGTAGAAACGTTTCCTACATAGTGCAACAAAACGTGGATAAGTGCCATGTTAAAAGATAGCACTGGCCTCGTCCTTTTCGTTTCTATCCATGTTCTGTTGTGCGATCAAGATAACATTTTTGCTATGGCTGACCAGCAAGTCCATATCGCTGCACCCATGAATTCTCCTCGAGGACTGTGCTGCTTTTGCATGTGGTGCACCCCCCTCCACGGTTCATGTGGGTCCTTGAAATCCTTGAGAACCCTTCAATTTCGAAAGTTCGTTTTCAAGGCTTTGAAAGTGCTGGAATTTTCGCAAATCGAGAATCCTTTAACTTCCTTTTTTTTTTAAATGAACATTGTCACACATATCAAAGTGCATCATTTGTGGTGCTGTAAATGTAGCAAGTGGCATATGTCATGTGCCCATCACGAAAAATTGAGAACATCGGTAGCTTGTGCATGGAACCACCACCATGCACAGGGGTGGAAATGCTGTGCCATTTGCGCCAAGATGCGCCTAAATGGCAATTTACGTGTGCAATGCCAAATTTAGTAAGAGTTTTATCATTGACCAAGCAATATGCGTGGGCTACACAAAGTGCGCAACCGCGTCCATATCAAATTAGTTCGGTCATGTCGTACTCAGTTAATGCGTGAATCTTGTTACGGTGGCATTTCTATGCATACCTCATTATAAGACTATATATGTTTTAACAGCAAAGCTGTTTGCTGAAAAAAAAAAAACATTGACAGATTTCTCTCGAGCTAGGAAAGTACAGTGGTGATTAAACATGAAAAGTGTGGACAAAGCTTTTGTTCAAGGGACAACATTTACATGTTATAATATATTGGAGATCTTAAAAAGGGTATTGTCTTTAGGCACAAACCAGACATTGTTGGCATCATAGATGGAAACTTGGTTTGGCAGGAAACACCCGACAATGACGTTACTCCCTGTGGCTACACTCTTTTGAGAAAGGATCAATGCAGTAGAGAATGGGGTGTGACTTTCCTGGTAAAACATAATATTACGTTTACCATTATTCCTGACTCAAGTAAAATCGAAGCGCTATGGAATAAACTCAAACTTCTGAACCATTCACTTTATGCCGGTGTATTTTATAGGCCTACCAGTTTTCCTGACAGCCTTAAGGAAAAGCTTACAACTTTTATAGAACGAAATTTTTCCCACAAACATAATATATGCCTGATTGGCGACTTCAATTCACCTGGAATCAATTGGACAACGTTGAATTCGGGTTCATTTGGACTTCACTTTTGCGAAGAACTACTTGGTTTAAATTTTTCATTCAATTTATACCAGATTGTTTCAGAACTTACTAGAGTATGTGAAGACACTTCTTCAATCTTAGATCTCATATTGATCTCTGAGAGAATGAGTCTCAATCTTTCAAGCTGTTTGGTTGGGAGTGGAATATCTGTCCACAAAATTGCTATCGCATGCTTTAAGCTTGACGAAAAGATCTCTGAGAACGTCTCTAGAAATGAAATTTCAAACTTTGAAGCTGCTAATTATGTATTCATACTGAATCATCTTGTTTCGTTGTTTGATGATTTTAATGCAATGTACGTACTTGTTTCGTTGTTTGATGATTTTAATGCAATGTACGTTTCATTCTAGTATGAGCGTGAATGAACTCTGGGGCTATTTTTCCAATGTGTTTCAACATTGCATGAATTACTACGTTCCACATTATCTTAGGAACACTAAAAAAAGCAAACATATGATTAACTAGAGATATTGCACATCTAAAAAGAAGACTAAAGCGTAAGCGTGGGCTCTGTTCACATTTTGGTAGCCTTTATATCAATAGTATTATCAAGGATATGAGTCTGGAACTGAAGCAATTAACGAAACATTTTGGTAGCCTTCATACCAATAGTATTACCAAGGATATGAGCCTGGAACTGAAGCAACCAACGAAAGAGCTCTACCTTAGTGTCATTCCTCAGAAGTTCTAGTAACAAAATTTTGAAAATATATCAACCCCCCTCACAATGTTGGAACAGAGAATAATGAAGTTAGAGCTCGGGCTTGTAACACATTTTTCACTACAGTTTTTACAAAAGATGATGGTTCTAAACATAAATTTGATGCAGCTTTCAATCAAACGCATATGATTGACATCGAAATAAATGAACAGGAGGTACTAAATCTCTTATTGAACATGGATAGCAAAAAGCGTGTGGGTCTTGATAACATTCCTATTGAGTTTTTGTGTATAAATATGCCGAGTGGTCCGCTAAATACCTCACTATTATCTATCGGTCTTCAATTGCTACTCGCTGCTTCTCATTTGCCTGGAAATTTGCAAAAATTGTGCCTATTCTTAAAAGTGGTAACAAGTTGGACGGCCGTAACCATTGACCACTTTCTCCAATAAATACATGTTCGAAATTGCTTGAACATATTGATTTCCATATCCTAGATTGATGTCAACATGGTTTTTGTAAGCAGCACTCGACTGTAACTGAGCTGGTTGAATTAACTCATGATCTTGCTAGTGCATTGAACGATCGCAAACAGGTCGACATAATATTCCTTGACTTCGCCAAAGCTTTCGATCAAGTTTCTTACTCTAAATTGCTTTTAAAAAGTTGCTAAGATTTTCAAAAAATTCACTCATCACTAAATGGTTTTCATCCTATCTCTCCAATAAAAAACAGTTTGTAGTGCTCGAAAGCGATTGCTCTGATCTTTTTACTATACTATCTGGAGTATCCCAAGACAGTGTTTTTGGGCCCGCTACTCTTTTTAATTTTATGTTAATAATATGTCCAATGATATCATAGTACCCATGAAGCTGTTTGCAGACGATTGTGTTCTTTACAATAAAGCAGAATATTCTCGTAATCAGACTCGCATTGAAATAAACATGCGAAAGATTAAAAGTTGGTGTGACACTTGGCAGATAGTATTGAGCACGAAAAAAACTATTGTCATGTAGTTAACGAGAGAAAAGAAATCTATACTTCATACACATTCCATGGACGGCACTGTCTTAACTAGAGTGTCCGCTTATAAATATCTTGGTGTCACCATAGTGCCTGATTTAGGTTGTGCTAGCCCCGCCGTGATGGTCTAGTGGTTAAGGCACTCAAGTGCTGACCCGCAGGCAGCAGGATCGAATCTCGGCTGCAGCAGCTGCATTTTCGATGGAGGCAAAAATGCTGTAGACCCGTGTGCTCATGTTTAGGTACATGTTAAAGAGTACCAGGTGGTTGAAATTTCCAGAGCCTTCCATTATGAAGTCTGTCATAATCATACGGTGGTTTTATTTATTTATTTATTTATTAGAATACCTTCAGGGCCCGTAGGGCATTACAGAGGGGGTGGGTACAACATATATAACACACAAGAAAAAAAGACAAAATAAAGAAACAAGTATCAGATGCGCAAATCAGGAAGGCAACATAAGTCAACTAAAAATGTATAAGAATTCAAGCACATACAAGACAAAGATAGATAATGGAAACTGCGTATAGTTACAAGCATTGCTGAGAAATTGCAGTCTTGAATAACAAAGGGTCTGTTATTGATACAACGGAAGAGGGAAGGTGGTTCCAATCGGCGGCTGTTTTCGGTAAGAAGGCTGCTGAAAAGAATTTGGTGCGGCAAAACGGAATGGCAACCTTATGCTGATGATCAATGCGCGATGAGTGGTATGACGGTTGTGAAATGAGACATAAACATAAAATTTTTTATGTCACAAAGCATAAAAAATGTTTTGTGACATAAACCCCACATATTAATCAATTTAAGTTAAAATACTCATATTGATGAAGTGTGTACTTGGGCAAAGAATGTACTTGCCCTTGAGAAGACTCATTTACATTTCACCTCCCAAAATGAAAATTCTGGCTTATAGGACTTTTTCAGAGTTTGCCAAAGTAATATGGGACCTTTACATGGAAACAAACAAAACTAAACTTGATAAAGTACAGTGCCTCGCACTAAGGTATTTTTATAAGTATCCCGACATGACTCCCCTTAAGCAGTTAACGAAATTGCCAATTTGCGCTCATTAGAATCGAGGAGCTTTCTAGGAAGACTAAAACTTTTTCGTATCATTCACAATTTCATCACCACGAACAAGAATGACTACTTTATCATCCAAAGGGACACCTACTTTAGGCACATGTACATTCCTCCCCCTTTTGCCTCTATCAATTGCTTGAAATTTAGCTTCTTTTGTAGGGTTATCAAAGAATGGAACGGGCTGCTCGATGCTGTAGTGCAAGCGTCATCGTTGTATGAATTTATGGAACGTGTTAAGCCTATATAGTTTACTTAGTTTTTATGCTGTAACGGCATTGTTGTGGAATGGCTCTTTTTTTCCTCTTCTTGCTTGTATGCCTGACTACTTTGTATTCCTGACAAGAAACTGATATTATTACTTTGCTATGAAACACCGTTTAATGTAATGTATTTTTTTCTTTCTTGTGAGAGCTGCTTCTCTTTTATATGTATGCCGGTGTTGGTACATTGCTCTAATATGTTAATATCTAATATGAACATTTGCACCTCCAGTGCCAAAGCATGTTATTTTTGTGGAACCCCTGCATCTTTTTGCAATCTATGCTGCTTTCTTTCTAAAGCTAACCCGCGTACTTACTAACTGCTTCCAGTCTTGCATGATGCCACCCTTTTCACATGCAGGTCTTGCTCGAGGTCATCTCGCTCGAGGTCATACGCTCGTAGTCCTTCCATTCCGCGTCGCAAAGGCTCCCCGAGCTTTCTAGATAAGAGGCGCATAACCAGGTAAATGCATTGCACGTAGGTCTTCCAAAGATTACTAACCAGTGTTGCCGCTGTTGGTTTGTATTGCACCACAGCTGATGAGGGTTGGTAGTATAACTCACTGTATTGAGGATGATGGTGCACATAGGGTGAGTATTGATTTTGAGATGCAGCACAGGGAGTAGAAAAATATTCAGCTACAGTATAATTTTTTTATCACAAATGAGCTAAAGGAACTGTGAAAATGCATCATTACAGTTGTAGTCATACATAAAAGAAACATTTAAAAGTAACTGATATGAGAATGCCTAGTTCACTATGCGTCCCTTCAATGTAACATACACAGGTAGCTATAGATTACAACATTGATTCGTATTTCTATAGTAATATTATTGTGGGTTGTGGTAAGTAGGTGCAGAATTACTAGGCCCCATAAGCACTGGATCTTGGCCATACGTCTTATTGAAACCAATTGTAACAGCACTCTTCTCCATGAGGTGTGCTCTCTGTTAACCTTTGTGGTGGCACTGTATACTGAGTGATTACTCCATCGCATGCCATGGTTGGCACCATTGAGGCTCGCTCAAAGCATAGAACACAAGAACCTGTGTCATGCCCGACATCTTTAATGCTCACATCTGAGCAGCCTACAGAACTGTGCTCCTGAGTGAGGTATGATGTAAAGCAGTTTAGTGACATGCCAGCTCATCATGCCCTTGTATTCCAGAGCCACTAATAATCTCGGTATTTGCGATGAGATTGAACCTATTTGCCAATTTACCAAATCAGAAAATGGCATCAGTGTTTGCACCGACCTGTGCCAGAACATCCGTGGCAGTGCAGAGGCTACTGCACTGCTTGGCAGGTGCCTGCCAGTTGATCGAGCATCACTCATGGTGGCCATCAGAAGGCCGCTTTTCACATGCAACGAATGACTATTAAAATGGGTAACTCAGTGCATGGCAAGTGTATTAGTGTATGCCACTTGTCAAGCATGACCCGGACCTTTAATTCTGGTTGAGGATTTAACGAAGCTGCAGACCTTGCTAAAACTGAAGATATTGACATGGCTTTTTGATGAGATGGTTTTTGTGCTCACGTTGACATAATTTTGAAGCAAATCTTAAAAAAAAGAACCAATGATGAAAAAGCCTTTACAGTTAAGTAGGTGCTGGCAATTTGACCTTCCCTGAATGTGACTAATAAATAAGTTATTGTCACCTGCATTGGGTGTAGGGTGTATAGTAATTGGGAGGAATTTTGAGCCTCCAGAAAAGGAAGACAGGTAATTCTTAGGGATTCCTCATATCTAGGTGAGCATAATTTTAGGGGCTCATTTTCTTTGATAGACTCAATATCAATGAGAGCTAACAAGCAATAATTCCAGAGGAAGTATAGGGGGTGTTATCAGAAGTAATTGTAATGCAAATGTGAAGAAAGAAAAGGAGACGAAAAGATGATTTGCGACCGGCGGGATTTGAAACTGGGACCTGTAAATGATACGTATAATGCTCTATTACTGAGCTACAAGAGTGGTCATCCTCTTGTCCACCTTGTAGGGTATATATGTGGTATCATAGGATGGCAAAACATGGGGAGCTCACTCGGATATATTTTGCTCTTAGGGTTCGCTCGGATGCACCGAAAATTTACAGATCTGCACTCATTCACACTCACCAAAATTTTCTTCAACTTGTGAGGAGGTTTATTATGAGGAGGAGGAGGTTAGCTTTAGCTAACAGCGATCGACACAGCAACGAACTGAAGCACGAGCCGAAAGAGCCGGGCGTTGGCGATGCTGCTTGCTGCAGGCACATATTCTTCTTCACAAACTGGACTCCCCGAACTCACTGAGACCCATGGCTCAGTCAGAGTGTGCACGAGGGAGTCAACGCATGAGTGAGTTTGCCGACCTTTGGGTGGTACTATGTAAACTCTCATTGACAGGCTACACGAATGAGTAGAGCCCAGAACCTTTGCTTTTCTTTTTGGCTTTCTAATAATAACTCTTTGGCTTCTTCTAATAAACACCTCCTCAGATTGAGGTGCACTTGGCTCTTACTTATCAGCCATGTTTTCAATTTCAAAGCAGGCCTACAGGCGAGCTAGGTGGTGTAAATTAGTTGGCAGGAAAGGACCCAAAATTGTTTGTTTTCAAAAAAACATTCAGCATCCTTTTGACATGCATACACATACAAAAGGAGGAATCCAACGTTTTAGTTCATGTAATGTGATGGATACCAAATGTGAAAAATTTTCCAAATAAAAAGGTCACTGAAGTGCCCCAACACACACTTTTTTATCCTTCATGATGGGGAAGAAAGGGCCTTCGCCAATTGCCTCTACTCGTGATGCATAAAAAGGATAAGAAAAACAAGTAAGAACACGACACAAGTGCTGTCTAGTGAATGAAACAAATGTTGCATATACCGTATTTACTCGCATAATGTTTGCTTTCTCGTAACGATCTCACCCCGAACTTCCCGCATTGATGTGTGCCAAGTTTATCCAATGGTCATCTGTCGCTATAATAACTTGCCAAGTGAGCTGCACGCACCGAACATATAATTTTTATTGTGGTAAATGTTTCCACTACACTGTGTTTTTGTGGCAGGTGAACGTGCCCAGCTCCGATTCTGTCCTCGGGCATCACTACGCTGATTTAAATGAAGGCATTCTTCATTTACATGGAAGAAACTGTTCTAGCGCGTGTGTTGAACCTCCATAACTGACCAAAAAGAGCAAAAAAATATGCGTTCGCTTCGTCATTCGCCATGTTTGTTTTGATATCCCACATTGTTACAGCGGCGGCCGCCTGTTGGTCGAGCTGTCCCACGGCGGCAAGCTGTCGATGTATTCCCATAATTCCTGAAACAGCCTTGTTGTCACCATCCCAGCCGTGCGTGACTTTTTTTTTTTTGCTGCTGCTGTTGGTGTGCTTTGTGGTCGTCGGCTGAAGCGCCATTTCACCATGGTGCAGTATGCAAGCTTGATCATAAAGCAATATATAAAAAGTTAAAAGAGGACGCTCCCATAGGCTCCTGCGGCCGATTTTAGTACGCAGCGCTTCAAACGATCGTTAGGAACCTTTGCAGCCTCAGAGATGGGAGACCGCAGAAAGCGATGTCTCAAAGGTAATTTTCTAGCGATTACGCATATTGTACAGTCTCCGAAATGACTTCTATGTGTATGTTCATCTTTTACTCCATGCAATATTTTTTTTAACACGTCGTTTGCATTTATCGTTTAGTTTCGTGTAAGCTGCACCGCCAGAGCTGCAAGCACATGATGCCACTTTGTGTATATGCACACGTTTTCAATAAAAAAATTACAATCGTTGGAGGGATAAAAACTTTTATTTGATATTCTTGGTAAGCATATGCCCACTTTGTTAATTGTTAATGTTTGATGAACACTGGCATAAAGAGATCTATAGATTCATTGCACAGCTAGACGCAGAAATACAGCTGCTGTATCATGAGTATAAATTACACACAAGAAATAAACATATAGGCAACATTATAAGAAAACCCGCAGAACAGTAAAACTGCAATAAATGCTCACAACTACAAATACAGTGCACAATGCAACAGGGAGCGCTTGATTCCGGCATCAATTGAAAAAAGGCAAAGAAAACTGTTGGCGACGTTTTCTTAGCCGCATCCGCACAAATTTTTTCCTACACACTTTACATCGCTCTTTCGCGAAAAATAGTCACAAGCAGTGGCCATAACAAAAACAAAGCAATTTTATATGCCATGCAAGCTGTTAATGAGGCAGGAGTGTTTACTCAAAAAGTATGCCTTAGCTTTAGCTAGCAAACATTTTTCTAGATTCACGACTTCTCTGACTGTGCTCGTTAGAGCTTAAGCAATTTGTGAACAATGTAGGTCACGATACTAAACATAACTACACTTTTCACAAAATCTCACTCATGCAATGAATTAGAATATATGTACTGGCACCAAGAAAACCTAACAACGTGAGCAGCAGCTCACTTTTTAAAGCCAAGAAACGATTTTCTCGCAAATGTGCTGCGCAGCATGCCAAACAGTTCTTTTTTTTTTCATGTGTGGGAAGCAATCCACAGAAATAATACGCAAAGCGAAGAGCACAAAAAAGCTCTCTGTGCCTAACAGCACAATGTGAGAATTGTTAGTTTATAGCTTCAATAACAAATGCAATATGAAGTTCACAAAGTAAAATGGCATTCGTGCTAAGCAGCAGCCAAGCTGAGAAGCAGATTAAACAAGCGCAGACCACCACACACGCCAGGCACATTATCACACATATTTTATCGCATCTCCCTCCTGCTGTCCGTACTGCTTCATTGCCTTAAATGCTCATTAACATGGAGCATGACAACGTTGCCATCGCGTTGATGCCTTGTGCACTTCTCTCACATCAGATTCATGCCACATGCTGCCCAACGATATCACATTGTACAATTGCTGGTGATAAAGATGGAGTCAGAGCCGTGATGCGAGCTACTGGAAGCCACAGTCTCAATTGCGAGTGTGGCTTCCAGTAGACGTACAATGCACGTGTAGACGTGTAATGACGTACAATGTTTGTGTAGACGTACAATGCACCAGAAAAGGTACTGTAGCAGACATTTAGTATGTGCATTTTTCTTGACAGCAGTCAGTGATGTGGACCCATCTTACGGCCTGATTGAACCTGCGTAGCTTTTGGTCAGAGTGACCACTCTTAATTTTTATGTTACTCTGTGCGAGTTTTACTGCCGCGTTAAAGCTGAAGGGGCTTGATTATGCGATAGAGCATGGCAACCGTGCTGCCAGCAGACATTTCGGCGTCGCCGAAATCCGGATCTGACATTGGAAGAAACAGCACGAGGAGCTCATGGCTACCAGCAGCACTTGCTGGGCTTTCCGCGGACCCAGAACTGGCAAGTTCCCGACATTTAAAAGGCAGTTCTTGAATATATGAGGAACATGCACAAAGACAGTTGTTCCGTGTCGTTGGACATGGTACGGACGCAGGTGCGTCCAATTATTCGG